GCGCGCGACTTGCGAGTGCCTGGAGTGCCTGGAACTGGCGGCCAGTGCGGACTATGGTCGACCCCAATGGGGTGTTAGTCCCGGCATTGAAATGTCAAGTGTCAAGTTGGTTTATAGCCAAGCTAGCTAGGATGAATGGTGCGTATATACATGCATGTGATATACTAGACCTAACTAGTTGAATATTTGGGCTTCAGATGCATTTTACAAGAATTGTTTGAAAGTCATCCATCATCATACCTTCCTTCTATATGGGAGCATACCCCCCCATGCAGGGGCTAAACACTTGCCAAACCTGGGCTTCACATGGTAAACTGGGAGCTTGAGGCTATCCCTGGGTGATAGCCCCATGTTTTCTAGATCCCTATGTTAGCTCTGGCACCCAAATTCCATTGCATCGCAGCCTTCATCTGCTTCGACTTCCACGTATTCGCTGGCTTGCGGAGGCTGATCTGATGCTTCCTCAGACCGTGGGGCAATGCTGGTTGAACTATGATGAACTATGCACATACCATATCATTCCATATGAGACAACGCAATTCAAATAGCAAAGGCTTTAAGATGCTTTAAGTATAGCGTTAGACTGTTAGACATCCTGAATTTCCGAAGTGCCAGGCGACTTACAAGGTGGACAGATATTAACATAGATCTCCAAAAAGTGTTTTTCGTAACTCAAGCTGTGCTTCCAAGCCGGGTTGACTTTTCCCATGTCCAACTTCATTGCCGTGGTTTAACATTCTCTACTTGCATCACTATTTTAGGTAAAACGGCTCCTGTATGGTCCTGTCAAGATGATTAACTCATTAGTCCATTATTAACCCACTATTAATCCATATTAATCCATTCTTAATCCGTATTAATCAGTATCAATCCATTCTTTATCGATTATTGATCCATTATTAATCCATATTAACCCATTATTAATCCAGTATTAATCCATTATTAATCCATGAGCCATCTCATATTTGACCAGGGCTGTACCAAGCAACCTCTGGAGTCTCATCCGAGGCTTGTCGTAATTCTTCTGCGTGTCTCTGCTTCATTGCGTCCTTGGAATACGCCATGGTCACATGGGATTCATATGGATTAATATATATTGATATATGGATACATATGGATTAATCCATGATTTATGATCATCCATGGGAGTTTTTTTTTAAAATTCAGAATCCAAGACCATGAGTATAAAATTATAAAAAGCAGTGTAAATCCCCATGAAAGTGGATTGATATTCAAGTTGATGACCATCCCAATGTTGAGCATTTTTTGGTATTGATCATCTTATTAGATCTTGTTAGAGGGTACCCGCAATGGGGCAGCCAAAACAGGACATCTTGAGGGGTGCCACCTCCAAGAAATGCATCCTACTTCGCAGTTCAGACACTTGCAAGTGAAGAATATTAATGAAGGTCATTTGGGGATGGGTCAAAACCCTGTACCCCTAGTGAACCCCAAAATAGCTGGTAAATGGATGTTCATCCCACTAAAAATGGTATCTATAGGTATTGACCCATACCCATTTCAGATAACCTTCCAGTGTGTTGGAACATGTCTTGAAAGCCAATGCTTTCCGATAGCTGTGCTGGTGCAAGTCGCTTCCAAGGCTTTGTACTTGTCTTCTAGGTCTCTTTTCTCTTGTCTCGCTTCGATCTTTTTGTTCTCACGTTTCGCCTTGGCGAAACTCATCAACTTTCCTGGCCAAGGGTGACCCATGGTGACCCATACTCCCAAACGAGAAGTGAACATATTAAAAAAACCCTTCGTCTTGAAGCCCCCAAGGTAGCTCGTATTCCCAGAACATTCTCCCAATCGACGGATGGACCCATGACAAAAACTAACCCACCAACCTTCAACATCCTTCAACACATGCAGGAAATACGGCAGGAAATGCAGCTTAACTGTGGCCAAATCCCTACCCCTATAGAGGGGGAGGGCGGAGGGGGACAAAACCAACCTGTCGAATTCCACTTTTTTTTGCTTGGAAACCTTGGGATAGTGATCCAACCCCTCGAATGGAATTGTAAACTAACATTTCTTAACAAGCCTTGGGCACTGGTTAGAAAATAGAGGAGCTACGCGCAAGTATGATCACGGCAGCGCAATGTTTTGGAGGGATGCCATCCCTACACATGTGCTGCTTCAGTCTGACATGTGCTTAGCTCCTCCGGAGCTAGGCGCAAGTATTTAATTTTCACCTGCTTGCCAACGACATGGAAAGATGAGGAATATTGATCATTGAGAAACATGATTGCAAAAATGGACTTTTTGAAATGAAATTTCAGTACGGCTCCCCCCCCTCAAATTCCATTTTTAAGAGGGTAGGGATGTGGCCAACATCTCATTCATTGCCATCCACACCACCCATTCTCAGTTTCGCAGGCCTGATTCAATCCTTTTTTGCTCCAACAGTGCCTGCGCATGTCCATTTCTACAGTAACCAGCCACCCTGCATCATAAATAGATATACCCTCTGGTTATGACTAACATAGCCATGGAAAATGGCCCATAGAAATAGATGGTTTACCTATTAAAAATGGTGATTTTCCATGGCTATGTTAAATAACCAGATGGTATAAACAGCGTCATCAAGCGACATTTCTTGCTGAGCTTTCCATTTTGGACAAATCCCCGGTGCTTGGTGAAGATGGCTGCTGAAGATGGCTGCTTCGCATCATTGCAGAAACACTGCTTTGGTATGGAATCTATTTATTTGGGGTCATGTGAATCATAAATTTCTACAAGTGAATGCTTATGAAGGCCACTTTACTGGCTAAACTATGCTAAAATCTCAATTCCACCTCCATTCAAGTAGCAATTTTCGGGGACCAGTCGCCCTGCCGCCCTGCCTTCATCTCGCGCTTGTGCCTCTGTATGATCTTCCCACGCCCAGGGGCACCATCTTCGTCACTCTCCAACATGGCACCGCCAGTATTTCCAAGCGCCCAAGTTGATTCACATTGTCGGTGAAAAATCTACAAATGTTGATGCTTTGAATATGGTCAACTTCTTTTTTTGCGCAGAAAAAACATGTCGATTATTAGATTGTAGATGATGTTTTGCATTGTTTTGCCCAGTGAGAAGTGCAGCAGTGGTGAGCAAAACTCGTCCATCTTTTCACAGCTGCTCGTCATTGTCCCGAGACAAACCTCTCAGCTTTGAAGCCAAAACAAAACGGCTCAGGCTTCAACTGGGAAGCAACCTCAGTGGTTGCTAAATAAGGTGGATTTTTGAGCACTTGATAACCCCATCCCCACACATATCAGTACCATTTATGGCGTAATTTTGGCATAGATAATAAAGAACATTGATGCTGAGTACTCTCAACAGCTTAGCTGCTTAGCTGGCAACAAGCACCTCAGATTGGTTCATGCGGATCCCAAGAAAACTCATGCCCAAGACGCCACCTGGCCAGAGATTCGTGGAGCATTCAGCAGTTTTTTTACTCCGCACTCCAGATGTCTGAAGCACGAGACATAGCCGCATCTGATGTAACATCAACATATTCAACGTCTCAGAATTCTTTTCGAATGGCAGGAAAACTGTTTTTTTCTACATCAAGCACTTGATTTTTAGCTTCATGCGGCTGTTTTTTTTACCACTAACGGTGAGTTCGGGCCATTCGGCACCACGTCGTGGGACCTTGGGTTTCAGAACCATTCCTGGAGAGCGTTGAAATCAATGCAGGGCCCCGGAATCGGAGCCTCGCAGAGTTTTTTTTTGCTCTTATGATCTCCTGCTGTCCATCCCAAGACTTGGCCAGACTTGGGTCTCTAAGAAATCCCAGAAGGTCCACCCAATGGCCCCAAAAGCTCCTGAATCATAAAAACCTCATAAAATATCATAAAAAATCCGAAATCTGAATTTAAGCATATTTAAGCACTGTTCAATCCGACTTTTTTTTGGACATGAACACCTCACAGTTTTGGGGTCTCACAATAGCAGGGCTTGTTTTGTGAGAGTAGCCCTGGGTCCTGGATCTATCTTTAAACTGACGGCAAAAATATGCCAACTCAGGACCCCCCTGGAGCAGTTTTTTGTGCCTCCTTTGGTATCGGAGAAGCGACACACTGCTGATTGTTTTACGCGGATTCATAAGAAAAAAGGTGGGCCAGGTGGGCCGTGGGCCTCACCCTTCAACAATCTTCAACACCGCCACAATCGCCACATCTATCCACATCTCAGTCTCATTTCTGTATTTTTTCGTTTCAAGTGCTATCTATTCATGCTGGCTCATGTTTAGCATGATTGCATTTTCTTCACTTCTTTTTTTTGGAGGGCCCTGAGAGACTCCAAACACGTTCCGTTGCGGTGGCAGTTCTGCACTACATGATGTGACATTGTCCTTGCCTGGGTAGTCAGAGTCAGCGGAGTGCTGCCAAGAGGTGGGTGGCATTTACCTAATGGTCACCTATGCACGAACACTAGTACTTCCCATCTATCGTTCGTTGAACGTGTTGTTTTTCCTGTTGAATCTTGGCACTTCTAGTTTATATGCCCGGACCCAGAGTCACAAAGGTCTGTGAAGAAATGGGGAAGTAACACCAATTTGATGGGGGAATATGGTGATAAACAATGTTTAAAAGAAATCCGCCCGGGATTTTTTGGAATGCACTATTTTCAAACAAAACCATGTTCCGTGAAAGAAACTTGATTGTACACTTGGTTTCCTATAGCTTAGGAACAATGGTTAAAACTAACGGGAAAGGCTGAGCGCGTGTTGCTTCCAACCCGACCATCTGGCTGGAAAAGCTCCAGCCAAACATCAGAAACCAAAAACCATCCACGCTACCTAAAAAAATTTTAATATATGGAATCCTAAGATCTCTGAGATGACTAGTGGCTATGGAAATCATTCTAGGATTTAATCATATTTAATATCTTCCATGTTGAATTTAGGGGATGCAACCCACAAAATTCCAACCACAACAACTCCAAGAAATCGTCCAGGCACTTGGGAGACTCTGTGGAATTTGGCGTGTCAGGGGTCTTCTTCCAAATATCCAACACTCGTGGGGAAGAATCGCTGCGAGATCGTGTCCGGTGTTCTTCATCCAAAATATTGAAGACCTGCTTGAGCAGGTGCACAAATAATCTATGGGGCTTTCAATTTGAATGGGGTGTTCACCCCTTTATCGCTGGAGGGTTTATTTTCTAGACCTATTGATAGCTAGATGATTTAGGGATACCCCATCTATTGGAAACCTCCATATTTATGGCTTATTGTGGCTGGGTTTTTTTCCACATCCACCATCCACTGGTCATTTTCAATTTCAACACGTGCAACGATCCCATGATTTCTATGGTGCTTTCCTGGCAGTCATGGCATGGCTACCCCTAAAAATCGCTGGATGGTATGGTCTTCATGGAAAATCCCAAAGAAAGATGGATAATTTAGGCGCACCCCTATTTCAGGAAACCCCCATATTTTCTAGTCGCGATGCCAATCCCAACTCGGAGGCTTCCAGATGTAGCTGCTGGTGTAACCCTGTTTCTCCCGCCTGGTGAACTCGAGCACGAGCCTGGAAATCAGCCGTCTTTGCTGTTGGACCTGGATCGACCGGAAGTTTGGCCTCGACTTGCGCGGATTCCGCAGGCTCCACGGGTTCCGCTGCTTCCACTGGTTCCGGAAGTTTGGCCTCACTGGTTGGATCAATGGCCTCCGGAGTTTCGGCACCTTCGTGAGTTTCGCCACTTGTTTCCACAGCTTCAACGGCCAATCCTTCAACTTTCACCTCGGGTGTTGCTTCATATCCCTCCTCCGGCGCCCGAAGTTCAGGTGAATCGTCTGGTGCCTCATGATGCTCCTCCACCGTTACCTGCGGACGACGAAAAGTCAGTAAATTCAATAGATTTCATGTGGGAATACCATGGGGGTTACCTACAATGGAGATTTCCTACAATGGGCCCCCCCCAAATCATCCACTTTAGTAGGATTGTCCGTTATAAATCATCCATTTTGGGGTACCTCCATTTTAGGAAACCTCCATGATCATTATATAGCGGATTTTGAACCACTGTTAATCACTATTCGACATATGATTAGTGATTAATCGCTATTCATCAACAGTAACCGTCAACAAAAGAATTCTTAATCACTCTTAATCACTATTTATGAATTACCCTCTGGTTATTTAACATAGCCATGAAAAAACCCAACCATAAATGGAGGTTTCTAGCTGGGAAAATCATCTATTTCTATGGGCTATCTTCCATGGCTATGTTTAATAACCAGAGGTGAACAGAGAAATTGGGCTCTTAAATCTGATGAACACTCCTGAGCACTGTTCAGCACCTTTTCACTCGGTTAGCTCGAAGGTAGCTAAAAGCACTAAAATGGCTAAAAAGGCTGCAGCACATATACAAACATATGTACTACATGTAACATGGTCTATACTGTACACATATCTGATCACGCCTCCCGAGCCTGTTCGGAGGCACGGTGACTCCAAGTGTTTTGAACTAGGCGAGTTTTGATATGTACAGCGGAGCATAGCCACGACTCAAGCCATCTATGCCTTCAGTGTCAGGTGATGTTCACCTTCCAGAAAGTGAAAGTTCATATTCCGCAGTGCCTTGTTCATTTTCTCCTCTATGACGGGTTTCGTCAAGACGTCGGCAAGCATATCGCCAGTGTCGACCTTCTTCAGCCGAAAGTAGCGCTTGGCAACGCGGTCTTGTACCCAATGGTATTGAGTATCCACGTGCTTGGCCTTGCCTAGTCCTCTACGTGAACCCATTGCTATTCCTGCACTTGCATCCATGAAAACTTCACTCTCAGGTTGCAAACCCCAGTCTTTGCCCTGAGTCTCCAAAACTAGTAAATTTAGGTGCCCAAAAATTTACGTAAATTTTGGGATTTACTAACGTGGATTTACATAAATTTTTACTAATGTTAGTAAAATTTACTTACGTTAGTAAATTTTACTAACGTAAGTAAATGCACTTTTGATGCATTTTTGATGCACTTTTGATGCACTTTTGATGCACTTTCGATGCAATTTTGATGCACTTTTGATGCGCTTTTGACAAATGCTCCCAAAAAACATGCCCTTTTGATGCACTTTTTCAATTTTCACAAAATTTACTAACATCAAGAAAATTAGCCAAAACATTACGTAAATTCTTCCCTTTTAGTAAATTTACTAAATTAGTACATTTACTAGTTTTGGAGACTCAGGGTGGCGGTTGAAACTTCTCCCAGCAAATTGCTGGCACCGCTCACAAGAGCGTAATACTCACTCTCTCCAGACGAAAGACTAACAACTCCTTGTCCTTTAGAATAAGTCTTGATACAACAACCACCGGCCATCAAGACGCCTCCTGACACGCTCTTCCTCGTCTTCACGCATCCAGCGTGGTCAGCATCAGACCACATCACAAATGGACTGAGTTTGTTCTGATAAGGAAAGAATTGTGCCATGCGTGGTCGATACCTAAGGTATCGTGCAACTCTTTTGAGCATAAGCATGTGGCTGGTAGTTGGTCGTTGTAGCCCTTGTGCTAAAGATCTTGTTGCTACTTGCAAATCTGGTCGGTCTTGTGCCAAATAAGCTGCTCGCATTGCAACTGATCTATACTGGGTTGCTTCTTCATCATTGAGAAAAACAGCGGCATCCTTAAGATCTTCCACTGATCCTTTGGCAAGTGGTGTCTTGACTTTGGCTCCTCGGGGACCATCTCCGAGTAAATCAATCACCAACTCTGCGTGACGTGCATCTGGTTCCCACCAAATTCCATTCTCCTTCCACGTGATGATTCTGTTCAGGACTCTGATGTCCTGGATGGTGTTTGGTGTTCCTGGTGGTCCTAAAATACCACGTTCCACACATTTCCACTTCTTTGACAGCTCTTCATGAAGCCATTTGATGTTGTCAAATGTTCCTGCTGGTGTAAAATCATCTCCATGTACAACAGTTCTGAGGTCTCGGCCTGCATGGTAGTATATGC